ACAAAATGGAGCTGGATCTAGGACCAGGCTTATTCTCAAAAACTTTCTTCTTGCCAGCAGCTATTTCCTTTCTCTTCATCTCCCACTCTTTCTTCTCTTCTCCTCTTCTTTTCACTTCTTGTTCTGTGACAAAAGGAGAAGAGTGATGAGTGGTGGATTTTTCAGAAAATTTAGTTTTATCAGAAGAGGTTTGAGCAGTTTTTAAAGCAGAATGAGATTTTTCACTTAATTCATCAAATTTGCTTAATAGTTCTTGCCAGTTGCTTTCAGAACTTTTCTTTTCAGTTTCAAAACGCTCTCTCTCATTTTCAAGGGTTTTCTGAAGATCTGCATATTTTTGAACTAGTGGAGAGATGCACTTGTCCTGTCCAGACTTAAAAATTCCAGTTTTAGGAGTGGGACCCATTGGACTTTCGTAATATGGAACCCCTTTTGGGACATTAAAAATATCAAACCCCTCCTCGTTGTAGATTACCTTTTCTTTAGAAAGAGCTTTCTCAACCAGAGGAGAATAGTCAAAAGAGGTTTCAATTTTAGGATTACTCCTTTTCTCTTCTTCTTCTTTAGTGGTTTCTTCTTCACCCCCAAATTTCATTTTCTTATCAATGTCTAGAGTCAAGTAAGTTGCATCATACAACTGACGGCAGTCAACTTTCTTTAAATGACGCGGGTTTGGTAATCCAAGACCAGCTTTTGGGTTGTAATGCTGAACGTCGCTTATACGATTTAGAAAAACTGTGTGTTCGGTTTGACCTCTTCTGACACATACATCCTCAAGTTCCTTTACTTTGCTTAAAAGACTGCTTCTTTTATTTCTTAAAAATTCACAGTCAGCTTTAGCTGTGTTTTTCTCAACTTCACTGTCTTGCAGTTTCTTAGTTAGTTCAGCTATTTTAAGTTCAAAGCTTTCAAAGTCTAAGGACACCCTTTTGATTTGATCTTTGGCATTTTCAAGTTGAACGCTTAAGGAAGATTTTTGGTCAAGGTTCTGTTTCAGTACCCTGTAATTATTGTCTAATCTCTCCTGCAGTTCTTTAATGAGGTGGTCCTTATTGTGTAAGGACTGAGTTTGTATAGTGTGAGAGTGATTAGAGGTACTTACAGTGCTTGTAGAGCATTCACTTCCGGGGATCGCAGCATCACCCTTTTTCTCTTCTTCATCCTCCAGCCTTGCCATCAAGGCGAAGTTCTCTTCCTCTTCTTCTTCTTCTTCAGAATCATCTTCCGCCCACTGGACTAGCTCAGCATGTTTGCCAGAGGTTTCTGTTTCCTCCTGTTGTGCTAAGAAGAGCTTTTGTTTATTCATTAGAATCTTCTGTTTGTAGAAGTTTGCATCTCTCTTCTTTGGGAGCCGACAGTCTTTGCTGATGTGTCCAGGCTTCCCGCAGTTATAGCACACAGGGGCATTAGCAGTTGATGTAGCCTTCCTGGCTGAGCTTTGGTCCTGGTTCTTTTGTTTGTAGTTGGAAGAAGAGGTTCGCAGCTTATTTGAAGAGCTGTTTCTCTTGGCAAACTTCTTGGCCAGCAGTGCCATCTTCTTCTGGAGATCTGCAAGCTCAGCTTCAAGATCAGTTCCTTCTTCATCACTCTCATCTTCATCAGATTCAACCTCTACTACTTTCTTCTTCTTCTTCTGCAGAGGTTTCGACACTCTTTTGGGCTGAGCTTCCATTAGTAGAGCTAGAGGATTTGGGTGAAGAGATCAATTTCATCCATGTCAATGCGTTGTCTCAAGTCTTTTACTGTTTTACTCCAAGATGGGTGCAGACTGGACAGAAATCTAGTATTCAGTTCCAGGTTGGTTCTGAATATTTTGATTTTCCTCATTTCATTCATCAACTTCACAAGCCTGGCATGAGTCTCGTGAAGAGGTTCTCCAGGAGCAGCCTTGAACGAGTCATAAGCCATCAAAATAGCAGATTTCTTTGTTTTTAGGCTTATGCTCGTGCCTTGGAGTAATTTTTCAATCTCGTCCCACATTTCTTTTGCAGTTTGCATACTGTCAATCATCACATACACTTCATTTGGGATGGCTTGGAGAAGGTATGTTTTGGCCATGAGGTCTCCTCTCAGCCTTAGCTTGTCTGCTTCAGTGTATTCAGAAGGCCTCTTTCGTCTTGCTTCAGGAGGAATGGGTGGATTATTTGTTGAGTCCCCTCCTACGTCAATCATTAGTACAGCTGGTCCTTCCAGGAGTGATTCCAGCATTGCGTCGGAGTTTTCTTTGTGTTCTAGGAAATTCAAGAAACGAGTTCTCCACATTTGGTACTCCCCTTTCCTCAGAGATGGAGGAGTACTGCTGTTTCCTTGCGCATTAGATTCAGAAGCCATTCCTGTTGCTGTAGAAAACTGACCGTTCGAGAAATAAGATCAGAAAATTTACTAAGTCAAGAACTCGAGTTCCTGAGTGTTCAAGGCCTAAACTCGAGGTCTGGGGAACTCGAGATGAGAGTTCGAGTTTGTGAACTCGAGGTCAAGAGTTCGAGTTTCTAAGAACTCGAGGTCTAAACTCGCAGAGTCAAAACTCGTGGTCAGACTGCGAGTTTGCAGGCTGCGAGTTGTTGACCGCGAGTTGTAGGCTGCGAGTTCTTGAGCTCGAGTTTGCAGGCTGCGAGTTTCTCAACTCGAGTTTACAGACTGCGAGTTTATGCAAAAACACCTGGCTGCGAATTCCTGAAAAAATAAAACTTCAGATTTTCAGAAATACAAATATGGTAGGTTGTAGCCCTTGTAGTAGAGATCCTTTTACCCAAGTTTCAGGTAAAAAAGCTGCACAGAGCTTAGAGAAACGAGGGGTGCGAGTTCAAGGGTGCGAGTTTACTTCTGAAGAAAAATTGCAGAAACGAAAAAGGAAGATATACTGCTTGATCGTCTTTGAAACGCGATTCTAACAGTATAACTTTTACAGTATTCGGTGCAGAAATAAGATTGCAGATGATAAACTCGCTATTCTATAAAAACAGAGTCTTTCGCAGATAGTTCTTCTGATCAGCTCTCGATCGGCTCTGATACCATTTGTTATTCCCTGTTTTCTATAACAACAGTATAATATGGCATACAGATGAAAGATTAACAATAAAGATGAACACAGAAAGATCAAGTGAAAACCTTCTCTGATATACCGTGAATCTTTCGTACAAGAATGATAAGCGCTAAGGCTATTTTGAGCAGATACGAAAGTTAACCGCAAACATGAGTCCTCCTCCCTCTTTTATAGGCGAGGCTCAGGTATGCGTACAAAGGCTTCTTGCCTGAGTATGGGCCTAACACTTGGCCCATATTGTATACTATTCTAACAGATATATTTAATCAGTACAGAATAGAAATAGTAAACATCTAACTTATTACAGACAAGACAGACAAACTTGATTCACAATAAATAGTCTTCAACAAGTAGGCATTCTATTAACTCATAAGACCAGTTCTGCTGAACACAGAGACTAAGTCTTTAGAGTTAACCAGTTGAAAGTAAATGTAAGTATTAAAAGCAGTAAGTAAATGACACCAATGATTTTTATAGTGGTTCAAGGAACAACGTGTTCCTCTAATCCACTGTTCTACTAAGTTTGTAAAAACGCAGATTACATAGCTTTAGTCCTAGCACTTAAGAAGCTCTTCACGTCTTCTTCAAGTGTAGATGTCTCCTGGGATACACTTCCTTGCTTCCTTTAAAACTAGTCCTTTCACTGAGTTTCCTTGAAGTATCCCCACTTCACTACTCCAGACTCCAGTTACTTGGACGTCCTTCTTTGATAAGAAGATCACTTTGCAAAAACAGAGGTTTCTCCAACTTTCTTCGTCACAAAGGATGTGTATATGAAGTGTTTGAAGTGTTGAAGAACTGGAGGAACTTTTGCTCTTGTTGGAATACGAAGATGAGAAAACATCATCTTTCCAACGTAAGGCTTTTCTTGTTGAGGAAGATGAAGTTGAAGTCTCAAGAAGGATTTTTGAATGTTGTAGAGAGAAAAAATTATCCGGTTGTTCTTCATGTTGTATCATATATACTGGGGTTGTTTTCCCATTGGAGGAGGGAGACAACTGCATTAAATGCGCGTACTGTAGAGTTGACTAGTAGGACCCAGTAAAGTGGACGAGTTGCTATTTTGGGATAAAGTTCTCCTGGAATGTCGACCAATCATCAACTTTAACTCTACAGGGTATGGAGCTCATTAAATGAGGATTAAATGCTTGTATTGTAGCTTTTCAGTTGAAGTCTCCTAGCCGTTGAGGGAATCTTCTGTTGGTTTCACCAGCTTACGAAAACTTCTAAGTGTGAGGTCTTCTGGTGCGTTAGAACAGAGAGGCAACATAGAGGGCCTCGAGCACTTCTGTCAGGATAGGGGATAACAGAGGACCTGGGGGGTCTTCTGTCCAGTCGATTATTCTAAAGTGCTTACACTTAGAAAACAATTCTAATACAAAATTCTAAAGGGGGTACTCTAATATTCTAATTAATCTAGCATCATCAAAATCTAAATACAATTATTTCTTACGATTTCCCCCTTTTTGATGATGCCAAAACCCTTAAAATACTTCTAGAGAAGTGCCTTTCACCATAAAAGAGATAAAGTTAAAACTTTCATTATCAATCTTGATGGGCAACTTAGCATAGGAAAGCAGTAAGAGTAAGAAAAAAAGGATAAATCACAATGTATCAGAGCATAATTAAAACAAACAATCAGAACAAAAAGGGTTAGTAGAGAGCATAAACAGATAGAATAAGTAATAGCCTTACATCAGAGAGGTAGATGGGTAATTTTTTATGCAGATAGAGTACAGGGAAGTTTTGTTACACATTATCCCTTAACGCTGCAGCCATGGCTAAGTCTTCTAATCTTTGTGGCCTTTTCAGTTCTGTATTTACTTGTATTTCCAGATAGTTAAGAACACCTTCATGAATTGTTTTGCCTGCAAGTACATTATTCTTGTACCAGTATTCTGCTTCTTCTAATGATCCACCACATCTGACTCTTATATTGCCTTAATTATCCATGTAGAGGTTCTGTTGCTGTGTGGGGGTCATCTTCTGTATCATTTCTTCAAAATGAGCTCTGTCAATCTTCACAGCACTGCCCATTCTCCATTCAGTAAACGTCAACACCTTCTTCTTCTTGGAGGTCTTCTTAGGAGGAGATGGGGGCCTACGTATGCCAGCTTCCCTTTTTCTGAATAGCAGCTTTAAAATAAGGTGATGGGTCAACAGAAGTTGATGTTCTGGCTGAGGTTCGTGGCTTACTGGGTTGAGAGTCCTCTTCCACCTTTTTGGCATCATGAAGGTCTTGGAGGAGCAGTAAAAGATTTTCAAATTATGAGGCGTGGGCCTTTCCAAGATCTTCAATAGAGGAGGGTATATAGTTGGTGACTTCTGCCAGTGTATCCAATAAACTGTGTTGATGTTCCACATAAGAGGTTATGTTTTTGGTGTTTGTCTCTAACAAAATAAGCTTGTTTACCTCTCTTTGTCAACAGCGTGTAGAGCTTCAGTGCGCAGTTTGGTATCATAACACATGGCTTCGATTCTATTCAGTTGTTGAGCCACCTGCTGATCAGATTTCTTAAGAAGATCAACAGAAGAGGTCAAAGACGTAAGGACCCGAGCCTGTGAATTGAGAGTTTCTTGAACTGAGGCTAGAGTCTTCTCAATTCCTTCAACAGATAGGGCCAGAGAAGATGTTCTATTGGTAGAGGTTTGAGCAATATCTTCTAAAGATATCTTCAGAGATTGCAGGTCGGTGGGGACCAATGCACCAAAGGAACCATGTTGCCGCTCATAATTGTCACCAGAGGAAGGGCTTTGTTGCAACTCCAAAGGTTGATCTAGAGGAAGGTTTCTCTCTTTCTTGGAGATGGCAGCATTGGGGTCGCTATAAAGGAATCCACTGTTGCTCGATGAATCCTCATATGATGAGTATCAAGGTATTGTATTTCTGTTTACTAGCTTCTTCTTGTGAGATGGAGGATTGGAGGAAGTAGAGTGCCTAGAGAAGCCTTGAGGTGCAAGGGTTGGAGAGATGGTTTTTGGATCAGAAGAGTTATTGCTCTGGGTTTGAGGTTGCTGATTGTAGGGGGGAGGAGGAGGAGAGCGTGATCTTTGTGGAGATGGGGTTTTCTAATTGCAGGGTGTGGGTGATTTGGATGGAGTCTTCTTGAGAGTTGGGGTTTTATTGGTGGGGGAGGTATTCTGTTTGGAGGCTTGTTGAGTAGATTGAGTGCTTTACTTTTGTAGTGATTGTGAAGCAGAAGCATAGGGTGTAGGGGGTTTAGAATTGGTTTTATGTGATGGTGAGGATTGTTTAGATGAGGGCTTATGTGAGGGTGAGGAAGATGGTTTCTTGGAGTGTGTTTTGGATTTAGAGGAGGGTGTGGATGTCTGTTTGGGTGAGGGAGAGGGAATGTTATGTTGAGAGGAGGGGGGAGTTGAAGGAATGTGTTAGTACCCAATTTTGATAGATTTTGATGATGCCACTATACCAAGCACGTGTACATTGTTCTCAATTTTAAGGAAAATAAATGTGACAAAATAAATGTAACAATTCTTAAGACTACAAATTGCCGAAAGAAATAAAATGCAATAAGGTAATTTTTTTACCTTAAAAGGATATTTTTATCCTAACGATGTTGAAAGTCTCAAGAATAATCTTTAAAGTCACAAAATAGGTTGCGTACTTTAAAATACTGCTTGAATACCTAAAAGAACAGAAGTGACGAGCTATTTAATGCTCAAAACACGTACAGGGTCCCAGAGCATGGGCGGAGACGTAGGACTGCAGCAGCTATTCAAGCAAAGACAAAAGCTCCAGCGTAAGGAGACAAACAACCACAAGTTATCTTCTGTGATACAAGGATTCAACGCACAAGATTGGTCTATCCTAATCAATGGATGAGATCAATTAACCGGAGAGCCTATAAATATAGGCCGAAACGAAAGTTTCTTACTAAGCTTTGAGCATCCAAAGTAGAGAAATACTCACACGAGCATTCACGAGCTATCTAGCAAAAGAGAAAGTGCTATTCTAAACTTTACTCTCTGCTTGGACTCATGCTTCACTAAACTTCCAGTTGGAGGTTTAGAACTTTCTTGTAACATTTCACAAGTTGTTGTAAACACTTAGGAGAACAGTTGTTCAGATCCTAAAGTGTAAGTAGATAGATAGAGTACCTTTTGATCCCCAATGGTTCATTAAAGAAAAGTCTAAGGACTGAGTAACTTTGAGTGGTGCTATACTCATTGTGATAAACCTTCAATCTAAGCCTAAGTGTTGTAAAGGCTAGATTGGCACTAAGTGTATTGGGCTTAATACTTTAGTGAAATCCATCTGAAAGAGGGTGAGACTGGACACAGGAGGATTACACCACCTCTGAACCAGGATACACTGTGTGTTGATTTACATTCATTCAACAAAGCACACACTTAGCACCTCTTACAAAAAGATTGAAGTTTGCCAGCAGAATCCTAAGCAGTTGTCTTAACTGACCCAACTGCTTATCCTATTGCTAAATTACATACTTTTTTTGAGACCATTTTCACACAAGAGACTGCATCAATATCACTAAAAGGCCAGTCCAATCATTTTCCAGAAATTCATTCTCTAAGTATAGCAGGTGCCTCAGCAGTCCCCTGGTGTCCACCCAACTGCTGAGCCCTCTACTCGAATACACTTATTTCTCTTGAGCATCTCAATATCACTAGACCTTCATAACATTACCAACGAGGAAGTTGACCAAACTGCTCTCTGGAATTCACCCTTTAAACCAAGCAGGTACCTCAGCAGTGCCCTCATCACCACTCAACTGCTGAGACCACTGCTCAAATAAAACTCCTGATTACTTTTACTAAAGCACATTTTCTGAAAGTCCTCATTATTCTCAGCAACATTCCATCATCACTTTCATCAAACCCCCAATAAATCCTCAACAGTTGCCTTAGCAGTTCCCTGCTACCTAGCCAACTGCCAAGCCAACTGCCAGACATTTGGGTTCAATCTTCCACCAGGATAGAAAGTATTCATACACTGATTCCATAAAGGGTAAAGACTTCCGCTGTGCGTCTATAAATCTCTCAAATGATTATAGATCAACTCTTTAGAGGGAGAAACGCTTTAAAATTGAAAAAGATTTAAAAGTCTATTCACCCCCCTCTAGACTTTTACCCTATCCGAGACCATCAGAATGGTTACCTCAAGTTCTGCAGTGTGGGACTCTTTGTACTCCCGAATGAGTTGAGAAAAGGCAGCTCTAGCATCAGAAGGTTCTCCAACTTGACCTTTGCCTTGATTCTTGGGATCCAGAGAATCCTTCATGGTCTTTTCCACAAGCCATTCATCAAAGGGTGCGACTTCTTTCTCAAAGAGGGGAGGGACATTTGTTGTTTCATGGTCAGCCAATGTATTGAATGTACATATGATTTTGCCTTTGAAGTTTCTCTTCTTCTCTGCCAGGACAGACTCCAGAAACTCCAAATCAGTGCATTTGGACACATCATCAGTGCAAGTCCAGTTGAAGACTTCTTTCTCCTCCAATGAGTAGTATCCAAAAGACTTCAGGATATCTGTGAGAGATCCTAACCTCCATTTCCTCCATTTAAGTACTCTGGCAACTGCTTGTCCAGAGTAGCAAGTATATCTGTCTGTCCGCTACTTGAGTGAGAGGTTCTGTCATCAGCACAATGGTGTTCTATTGAGGAGACAACCACATGTTGTTCTGCTGGCTGTGCAGAAGGTGGGAGTTCTCAGGTTCCCGCTGAGCAGCAACATCCTCCACTACTAGCTCGTCTTGTGAATCATTGGAATAAAAAACAATCTTTTTCCCTTGCCAGGCATTCCATTTGGGCTGTTCAGAACCCATAGGATCTGCAGGTTCCCCCGAGCATCTGGCGCTTCCTCAGAAACTTGAATGACAGGTGTGATGACCTTCTTTTTCTTAGCAACTGGAGAAGCAGAAGGGGTATATTCCTCTGTGATAGAGGAGGGTTTCTTCCTCTTGGTGACAGGTTTCTTGGTCATCAGCTTCTTGACCTTCTATGGTACAGTTTTCTTTGAGACTGCCTTCTCCACGGGCTTCCTTACCAGAGGTTCATCCTCAGAACTGGTGATGGAGTCCTTATTAGTAGGCTTCTATTGGAACTTCTGTCTGTTGATGTCCAACTTTGCTAGTCTTTTGATCTCAACCATAATTGCAGCTTCTTTGTTGCTGGATGTGGACATGAAAATCAGCTTTGAGTGATCCACAATGGTTGGCTTTCTGAGACCAACTCCATGTATCAAAAGTTCAGAGATCAGTAGGGCATGTCCTACTTTCTCGGAGTAGATGCCAATTTCTGAATTCTTCTTCTTGGCCACCTTGACAAACTCTAACACAGATCTGGGAATTATATGTCCCCATTGATATTTACTTTGTGGAGAACTGCATAGATGGCCTTGGCTTGAGAGATCATGAACTCATCAGTGAATGTATATCTCCACCAGACACATTTGTGGAAGATGTTAACCAACAACTCGATGTCCTTCTTCAGGAAGTACTTCTTCCCAGTAAGTATATGGATTTCAGCATCAGGTTTGCCATAGTTTTTGGTGAACTCTGGAACTGAGAGACTGACCATTTCTAGGTCAACAAGAGCGTTAGACCCTTCTTCAATCTAAATTTTGAAGAGTTTGTTGATGACTTCCGCATCAACTCTGACTTTCTCTCCATTGACGATGGAGGTGATGACCTCGTCATTGTAGTCAGCGTTGAGATAGAACTCGACTACGTCAAGGTACGTTGTTGTACTGCGTGAAGATGTAGGTGATCACTTTACTCAGCTGTGATCCTTCAATGCATTTCAGTATCCTCTCCATTAATTCCTCAGCCTCAGCAAGTTTTGGGAGTGCGTAGAGGTCTCATTTCATCCCTGTGAGAACGTTCTTGGTTAGGGTTTCCTTTTGAGATTTAGTGAGGGAGTCGAAGCTGATGAACGCCATTGGAGAATATTAGGAATTTCTGAGAGCTTGAGAGATATGGGGGTTTGAATGCTTAAGAGAGATAAACGCAGTAGCGGTTTAGGTTGAAGAGTGGGGAATATAAGTTTTTTGGGTTAGTGAACGTTTGAGATATTTGGTGGTTTCGAGGTATCAATAAATGAAAAGGGGCGCATTAAATATTCTGCGGCTATAATAACTTTTAAGGGTATCGAGGTAAAAGACCTTCAATAAGTAACTAGGTCAAATCGTTCCTCGAATTTTGTCTAAGTCCACAGCTTTCTGAAGGAGGGTTTCTGTTCCAGAGGAGGTTCTGGTACAGAGGGCTTTCTGAAAATAGAGGAGATGTTCTGTCATCGAGGGGTTCTGTAACGGAAAGTTTATCCTTCATGTGTCTCTGGGGATATCATTCATCATTCACAGCTCTTCTCTCAGCTTGTTAAACCTTGTCTCACTAAGAGGTTTAGTGAGAATGTCTGCAAGTTGATCTTCTGTTGGCACATGCTCCATACATATATGTTTCTTCTCCACATGATCTCTGATGAAGTGATGTCTGATCTCTATGTGCTTGATTTTGGA